TGGCCAAACAGAAATCATGAGAATTGGAAATTTCCAATCCTGGTAGTAACCACATGAGTTTCAGAAGTTAGGAATCCCTGAGTCCACTGCTGGTTACCTAGCAGGTGGTGGTTTCTACAACTTCCTGGAATAGAAGATGCTCATCTTTGGAAGGATATAAGGCTTGCCAAGAGAAAGTTGTCTCTCCCTCCTTAGAGAGTGATAGGTTACTGTGTTACATTTTAAGTATAACAGGTTTTGGAGAGAACAAACTATTGTAGCTTAGTTGGGGTGGTCATCTCTCTCTTTAAACTACTACCTGACTTATTCCCTTATTAATTCTCACCCTAGGTTTTAACGCAACCAAGGAGGTGCCTTCTGATACTCTCTTATAGGTGAGGGATAGGGATAGGGACTAGATCTGCAATTTCACTGCTATAGAGAACTCCCAGATAAGGAAATTCTGTCTACTAATGCAGGTTGGCACCTACTGTCTCCCTTAAATAACGGACAGTTGCTCAGAGTGCTCAGAGGTTAAGTAATAACTTTCCAAGGTTGCACAGCCAGTATATGGCATAAGTGTGACATAAACTCAGGTCTTTTTCACTCCAAGGTCAGTTCTCTATCTAGTATACCACACTGCCTCACTTTCCTCATAAATTACTAAAATTATAACATTACTCTTGTTGATTAGTCAACTAGCTCTGTGGCATATATACATACATGTATGTATACATACATAGATAGATAGAAGGTATCCACAGTCTCTGTGGGAGGAACTATTTAAATTAGGATTACATTAAGTATTTGTCAACCAGAATGTCACTTTCTGAAGCTAACCCCAACACAAACTCGATAGTTAGATGCCCCAACATTAGATAATCCCAAGGTCAAGGTACTCTATGGGTACTCCTAAAACTGTAGCTCATGAACCCCTACGGATGCATTCATCTTTAAGAGTCAGCCAGCTGATACAATTAACAAAAGCATTTACTAAAATGGCTTTGTATGAAATAGTAACAGAACACCTTCTTCACAAACCTGGAGCTCACTCTCCCACAAATACACGCATCATCAGTTGGAGGAACGGGCAAATACACAAAAGTACAATAGTAGAGAGCAACATATATAAAGAATACATATAGTGAAGGCCACTCACACCTCTAGGATTTTAGGATACCAATGTTTTTTCTCTTTTCTTGGTGCCTTTATGCAGCTCTCCCTAGACATAACATCTCTAATACAGCATCACTCAACTGGACCCCCTGGAACTATTCTTCTCTGCAGCTGTATTCCTCCTGACTGCCAAGCCTAACTTCTTCCCAAATTGCTGCCTGACAAGCACAGTGTCTCTTATTTGTCATGTTGATCTGCTGCAGAGCCAAAATGATTAGGGCAGAGAAATCTCTCTACCTCCTCTGTACTCCAGACAAAGTACAAGGGAAAAAGCAAACTCCTAGAAAAATTGCCTGCCCCCATTGTTTCCACTTTTCTACTTCCCACAAATTTTTCCCCTCCTTGCAAACTAGTTTGTGACTTGACCGCTCATCTGAAACTGCTTTCTTCAACGTTACCAGAGGTTAAGTTCAAGTCCTGCTCAGATATTTACTTAGCTTTGTGATAGGCACTTTGCTTAACCTGAGTCTCAGTTTCCTCATCTGTAAAATAATCATAATAATAGCACCTTTCTCACAGGGTTATTTTGAGGACTAAATGAGATAATATCTATACAGTAGAAAGTGCTAATATAAATGCTAATTATTATTATTATCTCTTAAATGCCAAATCCAATGGCCTTCTGTCAGTCTTTAACCTTTTGACCTAATTGTAATCAAAAAGTAGAAAAAAGAACTCATACTAGTAACTTCCAAGTTACTCCTTACTTGGTCAGCTTTTGTAACACTACTCTCTCTTCCTCCTCCTACCTGTCTGACCTTACTCCTCAGTGTCTTTTGCAGGGATATTATCCATGTCCTTTCCCTAAGTATGAGTGCACCTCAGACCCTCTTCTTTCTCTCTATTCTCTCTTAGTGATCTCATCAGCTCTCAGGGTTTCAAAAATTATTTCCTTGCAGATAACTCCCAAATCTACATATATCTAGGCCTCATTTCTCTCCCAAGCTTCAGTTTTATGCCACCAACTGCATGCTGGGCACTTACACCTAGATGTCTCATAATTCCACATGTCCAAAACAGAGCTTATTATCTTTCCCCCAATACCTAGCCCTTACCCCAACTTCCCTCCTCCTGTTAAGGACATTAACACCCTTCCAATCATTAGATTCAAAACTTCTGACTCATCCTCCACTTCTCCTCATCCTTCTAATATAATCAGTTGCCAGGTTTTGTCAATTCTACCACCACATCATCTGTTTCATTTGCCCTCTTCATTTATGTAGCCATCATCTGCCTCATTATCCCTCAACTACTGAAATAGACTCCTAATAGGTCTCCCTACCTCCAATCTATCCCTTCTCCAATCTGCCTTCCATATAGCTTCCAAATTGGTATTTCTAAAGCACAAACCTGACCAAGTCACTCTCTCCTGTTTGAAAATTTTCTCAACTTCTCTACTGCCTCCAATATAAAATACCTACTCCTTTGGTTGGCATTTATAGCCATTCACAATCTGAGTCCATTCTGCGTTTCCACACTTATTTCACATCACTACCCCTAATATTATATTTTTGGGACAAATTGACCTTTCCGCTGTTCCACAAACTAAATATTTCATTGTCACCCCCCCCACCCCTTCCTTAAGCACCTGCCATTTGTCAGATGCTGGGGGGGGAGTTGGGGGGGGTAAGATTTTGGATCTTTCCATTTTCCTGTACATTTCTTGAAGGCTGTATCGTCATAGTCTCACATACTACCTGGTATATATCAAGTTCTTAACCAGTGCTTGTAGGATTAAACTGAATTAGAAAAAAATTGAAATTTGGAGTAGGAGATTCGGAATCCCTAACCTGTTATATACTATTTGTCACCTATGGCAACTAATTTTGTGTCTTTGGCCTCAGTTTTCCCTTTCTGTTAAAATGAAGGGGGAAAGGTGGTGTTGGACCAGATGACCTCCAGGCTCCCTTCCAGTTCTAAACCCTCTGATTTTAATGAAGGAATGGAGGAAGAAATGGGAGCATAGATGCATTCTTGTCCAAGACTTTAGAATATGCTACGTATAGCTTGACTCAACTCCCAGGGAGTTCTTGCCGCATTTGTTAACTCTATTACACTACATCTAGGCTCAGTTTTCTCGTGCGTTCGATCATTACATTCGTGTGCCCTCCCCCACTCATTATCAACCACATTTTGGAAAACGAGAAATTCAGACAGGAAGCTTCGACTCTGCCTCCGCCTACTTCCTCAAAACCACCACGCAAACACCCTATAGATATCAGGCTGCTGACGTCGCTTTCATCACATGCTCTCGGCACATTACAGTCTCCTAATATACTTACTACCCACCCTCCCCACCAAAAAAAAAAAAATAGAAAATTCAAACTGCAACAAATGGCCAATAAGGGAGAAGGTGGTAAGTGGTAGGAGGAAGAGAAAGACTCGTAGGGAGGGGGAACTCGAGGAGGGGAAGGCTAAAACACTGCCACAGAATTAGGGTATTTTCTTACATTGCAGGGACCCAGAAAGGCTTCAACCCAGGTTGCAATGTCTCGCGAATCCACCTTAAATCTGAAAATGTACGCTGCGCCGGGGGTCACTGAAATCAGCCAATGCGGATCGAGTTCACTAGCACCACCGTGTTACGGGGAAGGAGGACCGAGAAAAATAAATAACCACACCCCCCCTTCTTCCCTCCTCCCTACCCGAAGCACCAGCACCCCACCCCGCCAAAAAGAGCGTTTGTAAGCAAAAAAGAAAAAAAAAAACTTTTGCAAAACGGCCCGAAGAGACTGGTTTCTGGGGCTTTTTTTTTTTTTTAAGGAAAAGAAGGAAAAGCAAGAAGGACTCATCCCCAACCCAGCGCCATGATAGTTGCTACACTTTCCCGAGGTGGAGAGGTTACAATGATGCAATCCTTGGGTGCGTTTGCTCGGAGTTGTTTTTCCCTTTTCTTTTATTTGCATGTCTTTTGAGACTCGCGGAAAGACTTCGAACCTCCAGCGACTTTTTTGCACTAATTCCTACGTATACACACATTTGTACACACGCACATTAATATATAGGGCCGTGTACATAGACGTACATATGAATGCCCCCTCTCACTGCCCGATTGGCCTGGAGATCCCAGAGTCACTAGTCCTCCTTATGGCACTTGCTTGGCATCTGTAAAAAGGTCCTTACCTGACTACCAAATTCACCCCTAGGATCCTCGGGACCTGGAGAACAGGGGTTCTTTGTTTTCCCCCACTCTTCTGGGAAGATTTTTTTTCTTTTTTTTTTTGCCAGTTGGCCCGAGACAGGGAGTGGTTCAGGTGGATCATGTGGCTGTCTTTAATTTTGTTTAAATCCATTCTTTTAAAAGTTAATTGTTCACCCTAAAGAAATATTTATTTTTTATCTTTTAAAACACAGGGGTTTAAGGAGACAGACTGCAAATAAAAACCAGGAACGCTTGCGCAATGAAAACTTCCCTCGGTTGTCCAGAATGTTAATTTCTGGGAGAGTTAAACTGTGGGCGCATCCTGGCTAGAGAGTACCTACGCCTTCTAAGTGCCCCCCCCCCAGCCCCGTCATGGTTCCCTCCCAATTTATCTCCCTGCTCCCTTTATGTGGGGTTCTACAGCAAGTAATCGCTTCTTTTCCCGTCTGGGAGCGGCGTTTTCTCCCCGTGTCCTCCTACGAGCTGAGCGAGCTTTAAATCCTTTCGAAATGCGCGGGCTAAGGATCATTGGAGCCCGGGATGAGGGGTGGGAGTAAGCAGCCTGCCCTAGAAAATCCGTTTATTCTTAGAGATTCTCCCCATTTTCTCTACATAACCTTGGGGGGGGGGGGGAGTTTTTGTTGGTTTTAAGTTCGGACCATAAAAGTTGCATTTTGTTTCTTATATCCAGAGAAGAGCTGGGCAGGGGGTGTTTCTAAGAGAAAAATATAAACCCCCAAAGCATGTACAGACGACGGCAAGGCTTTATTTCCTTGGCTTTTCTAGTGGAATTGTGGCGAGGCTCTCCTTCCAGCCCTCAGTCCCTGGAAGCAAGAAAGACGCCGGGGGAGAGGGAGACTAGGGTTCGAGAGGGGCACCAGGCCAGTTGGCTGGAGGAGCGCTCTGCTAAAAGAGTGATTTTCTCTTGTCACCCGCCCGGTCAATTTGCAGTACCTACTACGTTCTATTGGCAGTCCTCCGTACCTTAGGGATGGCCACTTATAATAGTCGAATGTAATAATGACCAGTATCGCTGTAGGGAAAGAAAAGATGTCAGCCACCACTGACCCGAGCGATGTCCGCAGCGGGCTCCGGGGAGGTCGCTCGCGGGTAACTTACTGCAGCCCGGGGAAAAGCAGCCGACAGTTAGCCGGCCGGGCGGATTTTAAATTCGAATTCTTGGTACAGGCGCGTAAAGGGGAAGCAGTTGTAGTTGCTCTTGGCGCTATGTTCCAGTAAATTTGACTGGCACAGCTAGCACCCATTTTTCTTCGATCGGTCACCCCCAAATCTTCGAGTTATGTGGCTTGTCTTCACGCAAGAACTTGGATACTTAGAGAGGACACTACTACAAACTCCTCGCCTCTTCCTTTCTCGCGCCACCACTCCTCCTAAGAGCTGGTAGCGAATAGACCTGGTAGAATTTTTTAAAACCTTACTGTTTGATAGTTAGACATTCTTGAATAATAAGCCGTCTTTTATTTAAGTGGAGGCAAGAGTTCTGAAGCATACTACGGAATTTCTCAGCAAAATAAGGTACATAAAATGTAAATATCAATTTGTGAGTTGACAAGCAATTATATCTGAGGTTAAAGTTTAAATTGTGATTTAAAATTTTAAATTATTTTTGCTTACTTTGAAGAGTGTAATGCCAAATATAAATATAATCTATTTGGTATGGGAAATGATGTTTTACATTTTTTTCAGTTGTGTTTGAATTAAGATTTAAAATATATACACACATATATATTTCTAAATTAAAGGATTTTTCTTTCCAATAAAAAGTTGTATAATCTTACAGGTCAACTTCACTATCTAATGATCCACACTATGTCAGTAGCAGGGAATGGTGTTTTTTCTAAGGCCTAATGGGTTCACCTAAATGGAATTTCATTTTAATTATGCCACAATACTTTCGAATTCTTATTTTGCCAGTAACTAAAGATGTGATCGTGGCCAATTATTCCACCTCTCTGGGCCTCAGTTTTCTCATTTATAAAATGACATTGTTGGACTAGATGTTCTCTAAGGCCCTTTGCAGTCCTAAAATGCTTTGGTGTATTTTACAGTGGTTTAGTTATCAACATTTTATATAATGTGCAGAATTCTTTGCTAATTTAAGAAATAAGAATCTTGTCCCAGTTCGGAAAACCTCAGTACTTGTATTAAAGTTTTACTTTATTACCTTTTCTGGGCTAAGCACTGAAATGTGTTATGAGGAATGGAGGTTATCTTGTATTTGTTCAAAATAAGGAAAATAATTCGAAACAGAGAGAGATGGATAGCACAGAGTGATCCAGGAATGGAGAAGGTACTGTGGAACTTAAATTGGGCCTTGAAGGATGACAAGGATTTGACTGGCCAGAGGGGAAAAAGGGAACAGTCTGAGCAGATTCTTATGTTGTCAAATTTTAATGGGATCAAAATTAAGAATAAAAAAAACCAGATTCTTTCAAGAAAAAGAATTTTTTTTTAAATAAAGTGAACGATTTTCTATTTTCCCTTAAGCCATGATTAAAATCTCAGGAAAGAATAATACACACTAACTTTTAAGGGCTTTGAAAACTTTAAATGGGGATTAACATTCAACTCTCTAGGTAGTGGTGTAAATAAAAAGCAGGGGAAGGATGGAGAATTACCTGCTGTTGACAGTTTTGTTCATAGAGGGCTAGAATTTTAAAGCTGGAAGAGGCTTTAGAGATCTAGTGCAGTCCCTTCATTTTACAGATGAGGGAACTGAGGCCTAGCGAGGTAACAGATGGTCAGTGAAGAATTTGAATCACCTGATCAATTCCAGTGCTTTGATTCTTGTTTCTTCGTAATAGTGATCAGTGGGACAACTGATGAAGAAAGGGGAGCAATACAAAATTTTTCCATGGATTTGCAATTGAAATCTTATTAGGTAATTAACCAAATCATAAGTTGGAAAGGTTTTTTGAGAGGACATCTCTTAAGAAAAGCTGGATTGTAATTTTTTTTCTTAATCTCTAGAGAAGGTAATTACACAATCTCCATTGAAATATTGTATTTTCTTGTCTCTCACTCAAAAGGAAGGCCTTCCAAATATTTAGCATAAATCTTTCCTATAAGACCAAGCCCTTTTTCTCTTGGGTTAAATTGAACACCTAGAACAGTGCCTTGTCCTTGGGCTGATGTGAAAAGGAGTTACGACTCCCTCACTCCCTCATGCCAACGAGGATTTAGTTGATGAGGCCTAGACAGTTGTCTAAAAGCTCTTCTGGGGTCACAAAGCTAGCATCAGAGGCCCAAAATGAATCCAGGTCTTATTTCTACATAATAAATAGACACCTAATGTTTGTTGAGTTAAATTCTAATTACTGCGGTCAAATAAGTGTTTTCACAATGTATTTCACTTCTATTAATGGGGAAGGGATGAAAAAAATGATATTGGTCAAAATGTTGTATATGTGGTGGTAGTTAAACTTTTAAAGTAATATGAGAAAAAATGAGCAAGCTATGAATCACATGGTAAAATATTAATAACATTCAGATTATTACCAGATTTCCAAGGAAGAGCTTTCTATCACTGCATCAACGTCTTGTACCTTACATCTCTGATTAGCTAAAATAGATGTCATCAAGTCTACACACACGGGTAACATTCCTGTACCTCATGTATATAAGATTACCACACCCCTTGGAGCAGCCCCTGCTCTCTGAAATCGTTGAGGTATGTTTATTCTTTTAAACAATTCCAGGAGCTTGGTTATTTCATTTCAGAGATCCTGGCCATGTGGTAATAGTGGAAAGAACACTGGATTTGTCATGAGAGGCCCTGGGTAAAAATCTTGGTTCTCATACTTTAGTATTTGTATGACCTTGGGCAAATCACTTCTCTGAGCCTACTTCCTGGTCTGCAAAATAAATATTGGACCATGTGACCTCTAAGGTGTTTTTCAAGCTCTAAAAATTGCATGATCCCTAAAACTAATGGAGGATTAGGACAAGTATATTCCGACCAGCATAGCACTCACTCATATTTGGGCCTGTACTTTTAAGATCCTTTGCCAACTCATGGTGTGTGTCGGATTAAAGCCACTGCGCGGTACCAGGTATAATGGTTCCAAGGAGCAGCCACATCAGTACAACTCATTTAATAGCTATGGCAGTTTTATTTATTGATTGTTTGATAGGGAACAATTACACATTACAAAAAAAGTTATACTTGGCTCAGTAGGCAATCCTTTAAGCACAGCCATATTATTTAACAGAAGAAAAAAAAAATCCCTAAAGCCTACCCAATAAAGCATTTACAAATGCACAAAACATGCCATTTGGCTTTTATATCTTCTAGATTTAAAAAAAAATCTTTTTAACATAAATAAGTTAGTATAATTTTCTCAGTGTCTTTACAGAGTTATGTACACAGGTACACTTTAAAATGTTTTATACACATACAGCAATATAGAAATACTGTTTAAAGATGCAGTATCCACTTCCCTCTTCCACCAGCAACTACCTCTAATCTATTCTCACCTTCCAGCAAACACATCACATTCCTCTGGGTAAAATAGCCAAGACAGAATGAGAAATTTTAAATTTAAAAAAAATTCCATTTTTTTTTTACCTTGAATCTCAAGATTTTTTTTTTAAATACCCAGAGAGCATTATTTAGGCCATGTTTACAAGCACAAAAATGAAGGGAATGTGTAGACAATTTTCTGGCTTATCTGATAAGTACAGATTGCCAATTCTGATCATTCAGAACTCGTAGTCAATTTTGTTTTTTGCCCCAATTATGTGGATTGTTTGCTTAAGCCTTAATTAACTGGATAATTACTTCACTTTGAAGAGGTTTCTATTTTATAACCCTCCTTTTAAAAGAGCATTTGCTCTAACATAATGGACACAACAGAACTCCAGATTCTTAATAAGTGTAATATAATAAATGGTAATCAGCTGTTGACTGTTTTAATTGTTGCAATTTTTAAAAAAAGAAATATCAGATCTCACTGAAAGGGATATTACATCTTTAAAGGAAAAGCTTAACCACCACCCCCATCCCCAAGGTTGCTTCTTTTCATGCAAGTCATACATTTATATTCTTGCGATATAATTTGAAGCAAGTTTTCTATTTTCTTCATATCTTAGCCCACCCCACTGCCCCCCCTTCCCAAAGTTTATGTGCTACATAAAAGATAAAAACTATATACACAGGTAGTACAATGAAGCAAATAAGGAAAAACCTAATTGCATGATGCTACATCCAATGCTTTTAGAGGCACATCTTTTAAGAGTGCCTACAATTTTAGTGTTGTGTTGCTGCTTTTCAGTGCTTAAAGAGTAGATCCTTTCCATGACGTCATCGATATGTATTCTTAAAATTTAATTTATATCTTCCTTGTTTCATCAAGCTCTGGTATATCCAATGAACAAGGACACATTCTTAATTCTGCAAAACAAAAGATTAGGGGGAAAATGCATTAAGGTCACTGATACAACTAATTGTAACAGCAGCAAAGTAAATCACTACACTTGGTAAAAATTATTTTCTCACTGTCTTGCTTGCTCAATGGCTTGTGAAGTGGGTGGATTATATACACAAGCTAAATGTAGAAGGCTAATAATGACAGATAGATGAGGTCTTCTCTTTAGTCAGTCATTATTCCAAACTGAGACCTTTAACAATTTTAAGTAGCAAAGCTAATTCAGCTTAGCTTAATTGTATAACTTATCCTACCACCACCCCATACTATGAAGAAATCTGGAATTATAGGGAATCTACACGGATGGCAGGAAAGAAAAGGAGAGAGACAGAGGGACAAAACAAATTATAAGGGTGTAAAAAAAAAAAAACAACCCAACCACTCACCTTTATTTGAAAAATGCCTAATAATAAAATGAGAGGAAGCATGGCATAGTGGACCTTGGAGTCCAGGAGATTTAATCCTGGTGGAGACCAGGATTTAAATTTTGATTTGTAAGTCATTGAAAGTCTCAGTGCCCCAGACAACTTTTTTTTTTCAAAGATTATAAATTACAGAGATAAGCTGCTGATCTACATTGGTGGAGGAGAACACTGGGAATTGTTTACATGGTTAAATGATCAGTACAAAAAAATTAACAAGATGCAAAATGTATGTGGTACAGGTAAACTGTATGAAAATACAGTTGGAGCTTTTCAAGCTACTTCATTCAGCTGAATGTGATCCTTGGCAATATTTTGTGGCTATCTCTTAAGCTAATAGGGTAAAATGTTTTAAAGTTCATCCTTGTTTCTTGTGATGGATGTAAGTGTACAATTGCTTTGTTTGTTTGTTTGAAATTGCCAGTGTCCCCAGTTAACATTTCTAAAGATTCTTTGAATTTGAGAAATTCTGCTTGGCTGAATAAGACAAGACAAAGACACATGAAAGAGACCTGGCAGCATTGTAGGTATTGACATCTTCAGATGAATTAGTAGTCATCAATTTTCATCCAATTTCCTCCACCATATAGAGAGGTTCTATAAAACCATTTTTCAAGAAGCCCTGCAAGTGGGCATTTTGTATTGTGCAGAGGTTATATACATTTATGTAAAAAAATTGAAATGATTTTCCTGTTTAAGAAATAAAAAAACACCGCCCTCCCCCCAATTTTAAAGTGTCCTATATCTCTATATTGTACAGATTCAATTGGCATTCAATAAATGTTTATTGTTCACCTACCATGTGGCAACCAATGGTAAAGAACACAGGGAGGAATGAGACTCAGTGTCTACTCTTAAGCAATTTTCATTGACTAGTAGAATTAGCTGGCCTGAAGAATTAATTAAGGCCCCCTAAATAGAGCTTTGGGGACTGAATTATTCCATCTATCTATCTGAACTGATCAGATTCAGCAGATTATCGAAAATCTCCACTTCCCTAGCCCATATTATTGCAAATCTCCACTTCCCTAGAGCTAAGTAGACACAGCCTTAGCTAGCCCTGATATTTATTATTCCTTATCCCCTTCAAATACCCAAATAGTGAGTTGTTCTAGCACAATTTGCATATACATGCTGACATGTTCCAGATTGCTTACAGGGGGACAGAATTCATTAACTTTTACTTTGCAGCACTTCAGAGTTGTGGAAAAACTTTGTGGGTGACTTAACGATTCTGTGTGTTCTTCTGCATAAATAGGTTTGCCTCAGCCTCCAAAAACCCAGAAGTGGTGTGACACAAGAAGAAGGATCCAAATAAGTGAATTGCACAGGCCACTTCATCCTACTTCTAACCTCTTCTTCGAATCACTGGAGCTCCGTTTATTCTCAAATGAAAAGATGAAACCATTTCTTTCCCCTTCTTCCCTCTGGTCCACACAGTGCCTTTATTTGAAACCACTGAAAAATGATAAAACCTTAAAACTCCTCTGCTGGGGCACGGAACAACCACAGCCCTTATTTAGAGCTGAAAAAAATCTCATCTTCCAATCAAGTTTTTGTGACGGCTCATAAGAGGATGATCTCCCTTTCACCAGGAACTACCTCCAGGATAAGAAGTCCTCATCCAGGATGCTACCCTTCACTCCGTAGTAACTGCTTCATTTGTCTAAAGAAAAGGTCTGTCTGATGGAGAAAACTTGATGAAACTCAACGACCCTTTCCCCTACGCCATACCTATTCTTTCAACCCCAGAAAATGTGGGGGGGGGGGCCTGAAATACCCTTAACAAACTAGCAAACTTCTTATCCATAGCAAACTAATAAATAAAATGTGTTGAGGAGCTTGCAGAGACTACCAGTTCCAGCAGTGCAGTTTGGTTTCATTTCTGAACCCTAGCTAAGCAACCCACCTAAGTAGTTTACGTTTGATGTCTTCTGAGACTGGGCTTCTTGGGCGTCTGCTCCACTGAACTAGCATTGGGAGAAGTGTCTGAAACCTCTTCTTCAGTAATGTTGGCTCTTTTGTTTTGAGGTGAGACATCTAGCAGGGGAAATTGCGGAGGGGAGGGGGGGGGAAGACAAGCAACAGATTTTATTAAAAGCATTAGCTAACAAAAGTTAGCCAGGGGAAGAGGGGGAATACTACCACCACCCACAATCCTGGGTCAATAGCTGATTGTCTTAAAATCCTAAAAATATTGATGCTATTAACAAAGACCTCCTCCCACGTCCCCGGTACCTATCGAGGGATGATATATCACAGGGATAATTAGGAACATCCTAGCTGCAAGATAATAGTTTGGGTCACTCATACACCTTATGATAGCAGACTGGGGGAGGGGACAGGTGTTTTAGGGAGGCGGTGGGTTTTAAACGTTAAGTTTACAGATAAATTTTTACACCGACTGGCAGGAAACTCAACTAGTAGCCTTTAACTTCAAAAGAAATGGTAACTACTTAGATGATAGATAGCACCGGAGCATAAGGTTAATAGCTTCAGCTACCGATGGAAAAGCCAAGAACTGAGCTGGTGTTCTCTAGACACAACTTCGGGGACGGACCTCCAGTAAAGCCAAGGAGTGGCCCAGACAGACCGAGTAAACAAGGGAGGGGTTTGTTTTATTTTAATTTTAAAGGAGCGATTACCATCCGTGGCTGGTCGTTTCCTCGTCTCAGTGCACTGGTCTGCCAAACTCGTCTGGCTTTCGGATGCACCCTCAGTCTTTTGATCTCTTAAGTGGGTGTCCTCTGAGATTCCCTGAGAAGCAATAAAAAACCCCGCTTGGCGCACTCCATTTAGATCCCCGCTCTCCTGGCCGGGCCCCTGGCATCTCCCTTTGGGGTTCCTCGGGGGCCTGAAATAAAACTCGGGCAAACTATCTTTCTCCACAGGTTGCCACTCATAATTCCCCTCCAAGGGCTTGTGATTCCGAAAGTCGAAGTTCCACTTGCGCTGGCAGTCTTCCTCGATGTCCCTGCAATGCTTCTTTAAGTCCTGCGTTAAATCTTCATGGTTCACTGGGCCGAAGAGGTTGCGGCAAGCTGAAGGCTTGGGGTACTCCGCCGGCCTGCCTTCCATCCGCTCCAGGGTCGGGCTCCCATCAGAAATACGCACGTTTGACATCGTCCTCCCTCGTCTCCACTCAACTTTTAAAAACGACAACAACAAAAAAATCCGAACACGTAGCCCCTTTTATATAGGTCCCGCGATTCCCGTTCGGGGCCAAGGGAAACAAACAACCACCAATAATTACACAAGCTTTAGGATCAGTGTTGGGTTTGGGGGAGGGGGCAGGGGAAGCCCGGGAGAGCCAGCAGAAAAGTCTCCCAGCAGATCAAGTGTAAGGGAGAGAGGGAGGGAGGGACGAAGGGAGGGAGAGGGAGGGGGGAAAGGAGAGAAGGGGAGGGGAGGGGAGGGGGGAATTGGAAAAGCTAGTCCAAGACCAAGCCGGTAAGAGCCTGTGGGTTCCCCAAACTGAGCCGCGGAGGAAACAGAACAGAGCAAAACAAAAACACCTGGCTGATCTCAAAAGTCGTGGTGTAAGAAGAGACTGGGAAAGGGAAGGAATATAAAAAGACACCCCGAAAAGCCGAGCACTTTTTTTTAGTTGCCCAATATGGCGGTGGAAGGGAGGCTGAAGAAGGAGAAAATGATTGACATTGCAAATCTATTTAAACAGGGAAGAGGAACCATTGGCTGTGGCGTCGGGAGCCACCCCGCGGAGGCTGGCTCGCTGGGTTTAGGCGCTTTGCCTTAAGGTAGTCCGGGCGCAGTTCTGCCAGACACCTCTCGGCGCTACCGAAATCGTGGCGACTTGCAAAGCAGAAGAATGGGACTTGTGCGGTCGCGAGGTATCGGGGGAGGGGGGAGATGGGAGGCGGGGGTGGGGGGGATCTGGAGTAAGCAACACTCTCAGGCCAGTGTTTGAGAAATTAAAAGTCAAAAATAAATAACATAAATTGGAAGTTAATGGAGTTAGGCGAGCACAGCTATTCCCTCAGTTCGGATCGTGCTTTTCCTAGTTTCACCGACTGGGGGAGGTAGCGGAGACGGCGGGAAGGAGGCTGGTTCCATACAGTTTGTCTGGTACCTAAAAGATCTGCTCATCCTGCTCGGTGGTACCCCCGCCAGGTTGCGTTGTGAAGGTCAGAAAACGTAAAGGATATGAAAGTCTCCTGCCAGGATTAGAGGGAGAGGGAGGCGACGGGGCTCGGAATTCGGGGTAGTGAACCAGCTTGGCGCTCAGGCTCATCTGGGAAGCTCAGTAGCTTGTACCGATGTCTCCCTTCTAGAGCAGCCTGATAAGGAGGGGAGGGGCCAAGGGGATTAGGGAAGTAAACAAGAGTTAACTTTTCCCAGAAAAGTCAGGGGTAGTGAGCAGAGCTTGGGTGACTAGAGTATTTAGAAGTCCGTGTGTAGGAAAGAGGAACAAAAGCTAGGAAACGACATTAGATAAAAAGGGGTCAAGTAAGAATCATCTGCAGCTAATCCCCAAATCAAAGGTTTTGCAGCTCTCCCTACTCGAGTCCAGGAAAACCGATGTTCCTATAAATGTAGAAACCTGTTTCAGTCTCTTTAAATTCTTCAACCGTTTCCCAGGTTGTAGCAATTTCCTCCACCTGAGACCAGCCACTGGTCAACAATATCCTCTCATCCATCAACTGTTCTCTCATCTTTTTCTTCTCTTTTCCTTATTCTCACTATTACCGCCCCCCGCCCCAAAATCACCATCTGCAGCTGCTCACCCAAGATAAAAATTTCAGAAGCGAGCGAAGTAATACCGCAAATTACTGTAAGGTGTATATTCTTCTCGTTGGACGTGGCTATTGGGATAATTATAAAACTGCTACTACCATGTCAATTCATCTAAACTAGAGATTATTTGGATATTTTTCCAGTCTGTTACCCTCTGCAACATTGGCGCTAAAAAACAGCATTTTTTCCCCAACCAGTGCTCAGGAAGTTAGAACAGGAAAATGGAAGGGGGTGGGGGGGGAAGGTGGGACAGAGGCCAGATTTGATCACAAAACAAGAGATTTTGTATAAATGCCTCTACTCCATGTACAGATTTCTTCATATGGGCCAGTTAATGCATTTCAGTATTATTGGAGGCTGCCTACCTTCAACTTTAGGGTAGCATCAGGTTTTAAGTCTTCTTTGGAAGAGTTTGATGTGAAACTTGTGCCTAGTCATAGATGTGTCTGATTCTTGAATTTTTCAGGTGATCTGACCCCTGCTTTTCTTTCTTGTGGACATCTTTTGGCCTTTTTTCCTTAGGGCAGTGAGAAGGGAGGGAGGATGTGGGGGAATATTTGCTCCCTCTAGCAGAGAAAAGATTGACTTATTTTGGGCTAGAGCATTATTTCTTTCCTGTAATAAGAGGTAGTTCTGTGGATGGCCTCCAAAATAGCCTGAGATAGCTTATGATTCTGTGGATTATAGTCCAGCAGTTCAAGTAGACAGGAAATACCAAAGAAACAGCACAACACCCAGAGAACAGGTGTAGGAGTCAGTGACAGAAGACAGGAGAAATTCTTTCCAATTTCTAAACATGCAAGATGTTTCATTTTTTTTGTTGTTCTTATTCTAAACTTGATGAACATTTCCTTAAAGAAAAACAGAAAAAGAGCATTGCTTATGAAACCATGAGTCAAATATACATGGTTTTGTTTGTTTGTTTTTAACATATATTTATTTCATCACCTTACTTCCAAAAGCTGTTTTGATTGTGTGTCCTTCTAAACCTTCTATTCTCTCCCTGCCATTTAAAATTAATGATTGACATTCTTTTCTTTCTTTTTCTCCTTTTTTGGAGGAGATTATTAACAGTAGTCCTACTCTACTCCACAACTCCCCTTTCCCAATTAAAAAAGAAAACAAAACTTTCCCTTGTAATAAATTAGCATAGTCAAACAAAACAGATCCATCCAAAATAGATATTGACCATGTCTGCAAATGTTGTGTCCCATTCTGTACCTCTAATCCATTCCCCTCTCTGTCAAAAGGTAGAAGGTGAATTTCATTCTCTGTCTTATGGAGTCATGGTTGGTCAAGTCCTTCAAAGTTGTTTTTCTTTACAATTTTGTAGTCACTGTTTAATTTGCTCTTCTAGTACTGCTTATTTTACTCTGTATCAGTTCATATCTCTTTGGTAAGTTTCTCTGAATCCTTCCAGATCATCATTTCCCATGACCTGATAACATTCCATTATGCTTAAAAAGGATTTTTGTTCAACCATTCCCCCAATTGATGGACTTCTAGTTCATTGCTACAAAAACAAACACTGCTATGAATATGTACGTATGAATTCTTTCCATCTTTCTTTTATCTCTTCAGGATATATGCCAATTTGAGGTATATCTGGGTCAAAGGGTATACACCATTTAGTGACAGAGGTGATTTTTAAGGAGAATTTTCTGCCTATTGTCAAAGAAGAGTTCATACTTTGTAAGTAGAAAATCTTCAGAACCTACTGCCTTCAGTGTTTCCATGTGTATGCCTCATACATATACTTTACATATGTAAGGCCCACCTCTTCCTGTCACCCTGTCTCAGAAACTCTTTGGTAGAGACTGGAAAGGTCAGGAGGATGGAGCTTGATAGTCTGGGCCAACTATGTCACCTACTGTTGAATGCAAATTAAAAAAAAAACCTGAAGAAATCATCCAAGAAAGCAAAGTAATTCTAATCTTTTATGCTTGCTCCTTTTCTAAGGGTGGTAGATATAGTTTAACGTTTACAATTTCTGTTATTGTTTGTTTCTTTGGGAGACATTTTTAATGACAGTTATATTAATAATATTTCTGTCCCTTTATAAAATTAACATGTCTGTTGTAGTTAGTCTCTAAAAGTTCAAACTAGGATCATTCCACCTTAAGAAACTCAAACTGCCCACAGAAAGGTTGTATCTTTGGGGGAACTCTATAAAGTGTTTTTTAAAGTCAAGGCACACACATCTGTGTGGCCAATAATGAGGAGCCAAGACCTCTGTTTTAGTAACTTAGAAACATTTGAAAAATACTATGGAGCTCCCAAGAAAAGGCAATCTGAAATGATCAGAGTACCATTCTTCTCCCTAAAGAAGAGAAGGAAAGAAAGGAAAATATTTTGCAGCAAAACAGTCCAATGTGACTTCCATGTGTCCCAGGGGCCCTCAAAGACTCTAAGTTCACACAAACCCAGGTCTGATCTGGGGGACTGAGCCCAAAGGAGGCATTATTGAACTTTGCTATCACTCTGGAGTTTTTACTCGGGGAAAAATCTGAAGAAAGCTTAAATGTAGCTCACATAGCCTCCTCAAATATAGGCAACAGTGTCCCCTAATCCTATAAGCATTTAATATGAAACATAGGTATTGAATATGGGGCAGCATTTATTTCACCATCTACATAAAATTCTTAAGATGAAAAAGGTTCACAGGAATCCAGGTGTAGAAACATAAAGCACTCAAAACACCCATTAGATTGCCCCACCCCAGAAGGTAAAGATACTTCTGGGAAATCCTAAACAAAAGTACTCCCCATTGGCAGTCTTAGTGGCAGACAAATGCCTGGAGTTCCTGCTGCTGGGGAGGCTGAGATTACTGGATCCCTAGAGTTCAGGAGTACTGAACTGCGCTAAGGCCAACTAAGTCTGACACCAGTATGGTGAGCCCCTGGGAGCAAGGGACCAAAAGGCTGCCTGGGAAGGGGCAAATGGCCCAGGCTGGAAAATGGAGTAGGTCAAAGTTTCTCTGCTAATCAGCAGAGGGGTTTGGCTTTGCGTGGCTGCTGCTCTTTAATTAGAAAGATAGAGATACATCTATACATATGCATATGTGTATATGGGTAGATGTGTATGTATATACTTGTATGTGTCTGTATGTGCTCCCATCCACCCCTGCTTTGCATGGCTTTAGTCCTCCTGCTAAGCTACAAAGTGATTCTCTATCTCTTCTATCTTCTCCAGTGGTCACTGTTAGGAAATCTTTTCCCTCCAGGACAGTGGTCTCTAAACTTTTGTCTTTGGTGTATATGTAAAGAGCTAGCAACATGATACAGGTAAATGGAGCTATTGTACTTGTACAGCACTGGTTGTAATATATATATGTATAACAAAACAATGAAATAATAGCATAGGTCAGTGCCATATGATAATTAATAGAGGCATCACTAAACATATGCAGTGACATGAAAAACACACACTACATGAGTAAACATTAGTATTACTGTATGGTTACTTGTGTAACCACTTACAGTTTCATCTGTAACATCATAAGTTAATCTATACACAGGTCAGACATATCTACATTACTCTCTTGTAACTTGTTGATCTATCTACCCCTACACCTGAACTAATAGATGATATGAGCTGATCATACTCCTTAACATAACTATAGTCTTGCACTCATAAATATGAATTTGTGGAGGGTCTGGGTTGGTTATCATTGTTACTAGGCTTTGTGGGGTGTCTTTTCACACTATGGGTCTGAGTGGCTGAAATTCTAGGCATGAAATGTTGTGCATCTGGATTCAGTCTATTCCTGTTGTCAAAACAGGGTCCAAGTAAGTCTGTTAGGTTCAGTTAAACAGTGACTTCTTTGCTGGAAATGTCACTTTCAAAGACGGTACCTGCTTTGGACAGTCTTTGCAGCTGGAGGGCAGAGTCCAATGAGATAAATGTCCATAACATGCTTCCACTCCTCAGAGAGTCTAACTTTCCTATGGGCAACAAATAGTTGTGATGAATTGTTTTTATAGGGACCCTACTAGTCTCTCAAGCTGTTTTGTAATCAAGCAAGTTGCTCAGTGTATGGAGAACCTTCCATTGACCTGCTAACGTGTGTATTCCTTGAACATCCAAGTATCCTTGTTGAAGGTCTTAATAATGAACTTGTACATAATACCATCTTTTCTTTTCTCAGAGTTTTTCTACCTGAAGACATGGCTAACTGATAGGCATCTCACAGTCAAGAGATATACTGGTTGTGAGTGTTTGCATCTTCTAACATGCCAAAGCACAAGTCAGTAGGTAGGCATGGCTTTCATCCAAACATCAGCAAGTACAGCCTATGGCATAATTCGTAGTAGAGTCCCACACATGTACTAGAAATGCTACATATTTACCTTGAGATTATTATTCTAGTCTCAGAGCTCTTATATGTTCAATTGAAATGTTCAGATTATGAGTTTCCTTGGGGATGGTAATGTATAATTCTAGATTTCTTTATACCAGCCAAAGTTAGTATTTCCTTGAATAATTTGCTTCCTGAATCTCTGATTTGGGCAAAGTGGATCTTGACATGAAATCCATATTCTAAGAATGCTTCTTCTACAATAGCTTAGCAAAATAGGGAATGCTTTCTGGGTCCTGGGAGAATTTGCTTATGCCTACCTGGTGAAATGGTCATTCACCAACAGTATATGACGTACTCTTGCTGTCTTCCAGAGATTAAGAAGCCAATGCAGACAAGTTCCAGAGGTTTGCTAGTGCTTATATTCTCCAAATAGGCAACACAATTTGGTAGTACTCTTCTTTGAACACCTCAAGTGCAAAGCCCACACTTCTTAATGGCATGTGCTGCCATGTTAGGCTGATAGAATCTGTTTCTAACTAGTTCCAGGGTCCTTTCCTAATCCATATGTCCCATCATTATGCAGTTCTTACCAGGCATGCTTTGGTCAGCACTAACCACTTTCTACAACCATCTTGTGGAAAAAATAACAGAACTTGCCCGATACAGCACTGCATTGCGCAGCTTCAACTTCTATCTTTGTATCAACAACAAGATGCCCTTTTGTGGGGGGAGAAAAAGAGTGCCTTAGCATCACTGTCTTATTTCTTAGCTTGCATTCTATCTCATAGTATATCCACAGACAACTGAGGCAAAGAGTATTGGTTCATTGAAACAATATCTACAGATGCTAGGTGGACACTTAGGTGGCACAGTGGATAGAGTCTGGAATCAGGAAGACCTGATATCAAATCTGACCTCTAACATTTACTAGCTGTTTAACCTGGGCAAGTCATTTCACCTCTGTTTGCCTCAGTTTCCTCATCTGTAAAATTAGTATAATAAAAGAACCTACTTTCCTAGGGTTATTGTGAGTATTAAATGAGGTAACATTTGTAAAAGCTCCTAGTACAGTGCCTGGCACATAGTAGGTGCTATATATAAATGTTATTATTAACTACTGGCGTGTTGTCTAGTAAAGCTATGTAGCCTAGCTTGTCATATATAGCTTTCATTCCTTCTTTAGGGATTACCATAGCTTCAGGGGTCACATGGCATCCATGTGATGATAAAGCATCCATGTCCACTTTAGTCTTCCCAGATAGATAGTAAATGCTGAATTCATAGATAGCCAGTGTTCCTAACCACCTGTAGCAAGTGGCATAAAACTAGGCACTGGTCAGAATATGTCAATGGATTGTTATCAGTTTGTACTAACAGTCTTGCTCCACTTACATATTCTTTGATCTTTTCAGTAACAACCAAGAAGTCCAGTTTGTAGATGGAAGGATGAGTCTTGCTGTCTATCAGTAAGTCCTCTACTGGCAAATGCAACTGGTTTCTAGTGACCATCACTCTCTTGATATAGGACTGCTGTCAAGATCTCCAGGTTGACATGGAAGACAAAAGACTTCTTTGGATCTATACAACCACACAATGGTGCTTACAGGGGGCAGTTAACTAACTTGATAACTTGGACAGATTTGTCCATCTATCAATCACCAAATGGCTTAAAGTATTTTAGGAAAATTTGATCTCATACTACTACAAAATTATATTATGGACAATATAAAACGCACAAAATAGACATTTTAAAAGACAAGATAAAGATGAAATAAATGTGATTTTTAAATAATTTAATTTGTTAATGATACAAAATCCTTTTTTTGTTCTAAAATAATGTGACAAAAATATTTTCTTGAGAACAATGGAGTGGGATTAAGTATGCTTTATTACTTTAGAAAATCTTGGTTCAACACTTCATGATAATGATTCAAAGCATTGGTTTTAAGTTGTGTTTACTTCGGTATTTGATTTTAATAGCTGCCATAGCTGAAAAAGATACCTCACAAAAGTATATCCATCCAAATGGAAGAATTCTATCATTGGCTACATTTACATAATAGTTATTTTTCAAACCTATCCACCAGTTATGCAAAGGTTTTTAGTAAAAATTGAGCCAGTTAAATTCTATCTTGAGATGTTGTTTTGCTGTATCCTGATATACAACTGATTTCAGTTGTTTTTAACTTGAAAACTAATCAGAAAGTGTTACATTTTTACATTTCTAATTAGCAACTGGAGTCAAAATTTACTGAAACTCTTTATTTGGAATATTCTTAAATAGTTTAGAAAATTCTCTTTCCAACTTTTTGGGGTATAAGATGAGATTTCTTAGGAGATAGTTACATTGTTTTGGGCAACAGTTAACAATAATAATAGAAACATTTTCAAACATAGAGCATTTTCAAAATGTTCTATATTTAGAATGACTTTCTTTGAAAAAGTAGTGACTTTCTCACTCATTCTTAAAATGTCACCTTTACCATGAAGTGACAAATTGATTTCTATAATTTATTAATCTATATCCATTTAAATAAACATTTTTTTAAACTTCTGAGTAGCATATTAGTCAATAAACATTTGTTAAGTGCCTTGTCATCACAGAAAAGGTCATCAAATTTGTCATTTTGTAAAAAAAAAAAGTATATAACATCTTTAAAGGTGACAGTTCTTTAAAGTACTTTGCCAAGTGATAAATATGTGCTTATATATACATTTTTGTATATATAAATTATATATACATATATTAGATATATAAATTATATATATATATTCCTAGCTACTGCCTATCTCATTGGGAAGTATTGTAAATATTTTACTATTTAAAGGGGCTGCTTTAATACAAATTAACCATATTGGGGACATCCATTACTTCTGTAATAGCTTGCTTATAAATGATGCCATGAATGAATTTCACATATGATGCTCTCTCTGCTAGGATCCTTTATTTATTCCACTCAAATCAACCACTCCATCAGTGACTGTGGTTATATAGTTTTCTTGTATAACATTGTTTATGTTAGAGAAGTAACGTACTGTTAAGAATATCTCTTTTCTATTATATTTCTCCCTTAGTGGCTTCCCCCCAAAAGGAGTTCTTCATGTATTTTATAGTTGAAACAATATAGCAGATGCCAAAAACCTCAGACATACTAGAAACATCTGTACTTTTATCCAGCTTTATAATAAACCTCACACGCTGTAATTTGAATACTTGCTTCTTCAAATCTTTGACATTGTTTTCCGTGTGTTTGCCAACAGTATTGGCTAACAAAGGAACACATTGTAATTTCTCACCGTATTGTTTTCCTTATATTATTTCAGCCATTTTTACCATAGCATGAAGAACAAGTGTTTCTCCAATGGTGTGGCTTTCTGTCTTTCATTGTTATGTAAGGAACCCTCCAAAGAAGCTTCTAAATATTTATCGTTGAGGTTAAGAAAATTTTGTAAAGACTAGATTATTATATGGTTTTAAATATTGCTAGGAATTTTGTAGACGTTTGTCTTTTTGCAATGCATGCTTGGTTTTCAAAATGTTTTGCTAATTTTTATGTCTTCCTACTATGACTAGCTAGTATCCCAAGGATTAATATACACTTAAGGTGAAGTTCATCATTAATGATAGTGGATGTAAATCCGTGTTTCAAATAGTCTTGATAATTTTTACTTGCCAGACCCAATTCAATCAACATTATTTTTTCTTTGTAGTACATCTGTCAAGGAGTTGCTACTTGGGGTAAAAATGTCAGCCTTGCTGTTGTTTGATCATGCTTATGTATTATCTTCAATTTGTGGTTTCTTTTCAGAAATCTTTTAAGGCCATTTATCCACTAGTTTAGTCCAAATGATATAATCTGTAAATCCACTTAACCTGACAAATGTAAATTGAAAAAATTCACAATATACTAAAATAAAGTTGAGTGAAATGACCAAAAGTTGAAGTTGAAGTGAAGTCCCAAGACACCTCAGCTTTGTGGAGCTCTAATTCTTCCCATCAGGATACTTTTCTTACTACATGTGACATGTACCCATTAGAAAACAATTGGTTTCTGAGCTCATAGAGACCAACTGAGGGCACCAGTATCAATCTAGAAATTCCTTATTTTTAGAGGGGAAAAAAGCAAACTTTTAAAATTAAACTTGGCAATTTGAGAAATTGCTGCTTTTACAGTACCTATATGCCAGAATAACTTCATAAGCATGATGATTTCACCTTTAGAATATTCCTGGTGGATAGGGTAGACTTTTTAAGTAATCATTGGTAGTAATTCATTATCCTATTAACTTATTCTATGTAGCTAGCCAACTAGATGAATTTCAGTAATGAAAAATGACTCTCTCCAAAAAGGAAACTCAAACAGGCCAGGGTCTTAATCAGTGTCTGATTCAAGAGTGTAGAACCAGCCAAGACGAGTTCACTACCACCGTGATGCCACATAGGACACTGGGAGAATGTATGTTGTAGGTAGGAAGGGAAATTTTCCTAATGGTGCCCATACAACTATATATCTGGGTTGCAGATATCACCACCTGGCGCATCTGAAACCCAGTGTGAAAGGGAATAGGTATGGCACTTGTGCAGACAGTGGGACACCACAGAAAGGGGAAGTGTTGGGCAACAGGTGTTATGCAGTAGTTTTTGAGACATAAGTTTCAGTTGGTTACCAAGTTGAGGGTAGGATGTGACTTATCTTCTAATTGGTTGGTGCCATATACCTATGGATTGTCTTGTACACTTCCTAGAGCACACACAACAAATCTCTGAGGAGGCTGGTGCTTAAATAATCAAACTTAGGAATTCTTGATCTCTAGGGAGCTTTTAAACATGCATAGAAAGATAGTTCTCATGAATTCTAGTTTCTGACCCCTATTAAGAAAGGAAAACAGAAAGAAGACATTCAGGAAATGTAAGTCTCAAAACTATTCTCAAGTTTATCTGGGTAAATAATAGGTCACTTTCTGCTATCTGCTTCTGTAAGTATTTTTTGCTGGGGATGGGTTACAAAGAAATAAAATTTCTCTCCTTTTTCCCTTTTACTTGTAGCATTGAAAAGAAAAGAAATGTACCATTGCACAGCTCAGTCTCGATTCTAGAGTAGGGGGAAAGTATGGCATCTCTGACAAGTATCCATCCTCTCTAATTCAATAGCCAGTGATTTTGGAAGCAACTCAAGTCAGTGGGACCAATCAGAGCATTCCCTCACAGCAAGATGCTAATCTGTCTGCATCTATGGGAGGTACCCTTCCAGCAAAGGAGGTATCCTTCCAGATCTCATCAAGTGGATTGGTAGAACTCATCAAATCGATCAAGGATTCCCCTGATCACTTACCTTATACAACTGGATTCACAGAGAAGTCCTGCCTAAGGTCCTGGTTGGAGATAGCTCTATGAACTGAAAAGGTACATTCCCCTGCTTTCCTGCACACTGAATTCATAAACCAGTTCATCATCCCAGTCACAGATTTGCCCTTATCTTAGGAGCTGAACTAGAATATGTCATTCACTGAAGCCTCAAGAAAAAGATGAAAGGAATATAGGTATCTCTCCCACTAAGCCTGACCTGAGTCAGTTTCCTGGTATTTTATATTCAGTGTTGGAACAAAATGAAAGACTCATAAGTCATTCTACAGTTAGCAAAAAGAAATTTAGATTGTATTTGTTATTAGATTGTAAGCTCCCTGAGGTCAGGGACAATCTTTTGCCTCTTTTTTTTTTTTATCCCTAGTGCTTAGCATGGTGCCTGGCACATGATAAGCACTTAATGTTTATTGATTGAGATTTACTTAGCCATAGAAGGAGAAGGATATTCAATAAGAATAGGCATTGAGGTCACCTATAATTTATTCTGTTGAATAGAGCTCCCTTGCTTGAGATGCCCATTGCTTTCCACCATCCAATCATCAAAGAGTATGCCTGGAGTTCCTTGTGCCTGTTTTGTACTCAGATGACCAGAAAAGGATGTCAACAGGCTGAGCCAACCAGATATCCAGGATGGTCTCAAAAAACTTTTAAGGAAAAACTAGGCTAACTTGCATGGGGATAGGATAGTGCTACTATACTCCACCCATTGAGGGGAAGGTTTTAAAGCCTTCCAAAGGATTTTCTATAACTTAAATGACTTTAAGACCATTACTGGCAAGCCCTGATTTTTAATGTTTAAGAAACCAGATATAGATAGTAATAAAGGAGGAAGAAAAGAACTAAAACAGAAACACAGCAAAGAGTCCCAGGAAAGTCTGAGTCCCAGGTCTGTATAGTCCAGTTTATGTGATGGATGTAAAATCTTTATAGTTCATAGTGGGTCTCACAGTGTAAGAATATGACTGACCATAAGCAGGAGGACTAGAGATATCAGGACTACAGGAAAGATGATGGCTGGCAATGTGCTGAATGGTCACTGATCCTCGTCAGAGTTTAGAAAGAATTGCTCAGTACCTCCACTGACTTAGTGTTTCCTGGACCACCAGCCAGGGTCTCTCCCTTCCTGGGAGTCCTGTGGTGATGGGGCAGGAGTGAGAGGAGTCACAACAATCTTTGCCCAATGACAGGCCTCTAAGGAACTGCCTGCCTTCTTTTATGGGGGGTCATTTTCAACCCTTTTCTTGCCAAAAAAGCAAACCCCTTCCCAATAATGCCACCTTTTGGTCCTCCAAGCCTTCCCTGGGGAGTTGTACGATGACTACCGGGTGTAATTAAGAGTCAGTCATTTCGAGATTACAGTAAGCAGTGGGCTAAATGGACCTGCCTTTTGCCATTGTTCATGCCAGGTCCTGGAACTGCTCCCTTCACACCACTGCTGGCACCTTTGTCTCTGCCTGCTCATCCAGAGTTGATTTCTACTATCCTATGCCCTGGCCTGAATGGTGTCTGAGGTGTTACCGCTGTTCCCTGCCCGAGGGGGCAGGACAGATGCCACTACTGGGGCCAGAACTCTATTGCCCTGTGCTGATCCTTGCAAGCATTGCCCCACTGTGCTCAGCAGGAGCACTTCTGGGGCTGTTACTGCTGGGACCTGACTGACTTCCTGTGCTGGGGGAAGGCCATGAAGTCACACAAAAAGCCACACACACAAAAAAAGGCTAGAGATACTTCTGGAACAGTATTTGCTGTGTGCAAACAGTATCCATTTATATTAGGGTTGAGGAAATTCACCTAAGTCCTGAGCTGTGCATTCTGCAGGAGCCCCTTACTCGAAGCTCCAAAGAAAGTTACAATTTACAGCCCATAGTTCAAGGGCAAGAGTGGGAACTTTTTAACTGATGCAGCACCTCTGCGGATCATCAGCTAATTAAATTGGGGTGCAATTGGCACAACTGTTCATATCGTCAATTCCAAAAATATCTGGGTCCCTAGTGAGAATGAAGTATTGTCCTTTCAAGTGCCTTCCCCAATGGCTTGCAAAGAATCACCACAAAATCCATGTAATAAATTTGGGTTGGCCTCTCAAATTACAAATTAAAAAGACAAAACTCAAAACAATTTCTTCAGCCTGGTTATTAGACACTTCTAAAATTTCAGGGATCTGCCTGGTTTGCATTCTCTCACTGTTAATGAGAAGCCATCCCTCAATGCCTGGCTATGTTCCTATACAATTAAAGGACCTAGGACTACTCTTCAGCTTCATTGTAACTTCCAAGAAGCCATTCAAAACCAAAAATTCTTTCCCTATCCACATAAAATTATAATTCTTTTAAAACTAAAAGGGCCCTACTTTCAGCAGGATTCCCCCAAGGTAATTGGGAGATGATAACTATTTGAAATGCAAAAGCAAAATACAATCCATTCTTCTGAAATTGTCCTTTTCTAATGAAAAGGAAATCTCTTTCAGTCCCCCAGAATACAGTTCTCTTAGGTTTTTCTGAAGATTAACTGAATTCTGAAGAGCAATCCTTAGTAAAACCTGGAGGAGTTTTAAATTACCAGGCTGGAAGGTTCAACCCACGCACAGCCAGCTTACTGCAATTATTTTCAAGTTATAGTTCTTAAAAACACGCACATGGTCTGTCTCCTTGCAGAAGGACTGAAGGCAGATGACTCTTAAATATCCCAGGTGGGGAAGGAGCATCAGCATAAACAACCATTTCTAGAGGTATCACCAAAATCACCACCAGACATATGAAAACAGATCCTAGCTCACCTTTTGTACTGACCATTCTCCATTTCAAGGAACTCATTACATTCTAAGCCTACATGACTACACCAATCATTCTGGATTGGGCCTGACTCAGGCCAGTTTTCTGGAAGTTTAGTTTCCATATTGGAACAAAGTGAGGCACTCATAAGTTATTCAATAATTAACAAAAAGATTTACTTAACCCATGTGGGAGAAGGATATTGAACAAGAATAGGCATTGACGAAACTTCAGTTGGATTCAGCTGATGAAAGCACCCCTGCCTGAGTTGCTCATTGTTTTCCATCAGCCAAGCCTCAGAGAGTAAGCCAGGAGATCCAAGTGGCTGTTTTGTACTCAGGTGTCCAGGAAGTGATGTCAGCGGTCTGAGCTCTTACTCCCCTGAGTCAACCAAATTTCTAGGATAGTCTCAGTACCTTTTAAGGAAAACTAACTTAACTTGTATAGAGGAGGAGGAGGAGTTAGGATTTTGCTCTTACCACATTCTCTTTTAAGAACAACACTACCAATTCAGCAGGCTTCATTGAGGCAATGGGGAACTTGCCAAGTGTAATAGGCACATTGACCCAGTACCTATTTATGTGAGTATGAATGACACTCCTAGTTCATACACTAATCACAGAAGTTGAGAGTTTCAAGAGACTTCAATGACCATCGAGTTGGTCCAACTCCTGAAATAGAATTCCTACTACCATACACTTGATGAGAGGTTATCCAGCATTTCCCCGAAGACCTCTCACTACCTCCTGAAACAGGGTATTCCATTTTTAGATGACTCTGATTGTTAGGAAATTTTGCTTTA